ACCTTGTACTGGGGATGCTCTGCCCAGATGGCCCGGCAGAGGCCATGCACAAGGAGAAACAAGCCTGCTTCTGCCCTCCTTTGCACTACTCTACATCCCTGCAGACTTTAACCAAGTTCTTTCAGCTCTAAGCTGGTCCCAGCGGGCAGAATTTATCCCGCTAGCTGATCTCTTGTACACACAGTCCCTCGGGCTGAAGGGAGTATTCACAGCCACATCCTAACTCCCTGCAAAAAAGGGTGTTGCATGGAAACGGGTAGGGAACTTGGCACAAAAGATGCGGTTTGGCTTCCTGGACCAAGCTGATAACCCTGTCCCTCCAGGATGTGCATCAATCCTGCTTTCTGCACGCCCCCCCCATTTATTACTCTCTTTCATCCCTTCCACTTCTTAACATAAAGGCAAACAGGATGCTCTCCCTTCCAGCCAAGATTTTAGCCTCATCACGGGGATTTCAGCACAGCACCCTGTTTTGAGCCCTTGGGTAAAATCCACCTTGTTACCTCTGCAGCGGTCTGAGCTTTTTCCATTTCCTCATGTGGCCACCGGTGCCAGTGGGAACCATCATTCCCACAGCACTGTTTGTCCGTAAGATATTGGCAACAGATAACATTCTTCAGAGAACAGCTTTGCAGTTTTCCCCACACCTCTGGGTACGGGGTAAGATTAAAGCTAGCTGGTTAGGAAAGGACTGAACAACTGAACTGAATTCAGTTAAAGAACCATTTATAGGGTGTTTTTTACCCTGAAAGGTGTGTCTTAGGGTTCACGGGGTCCAATCCTTAGAGGTAAAAGGGATGAGACAATTTAGCATGTGCAAGTCCCACGCTAAAGTAATTCAAAACTTTCTGGATCACCCATGCCATTTGTACAAGGGTTTGGGCTGAGGAACGGCGCGACTGTGAATTGCCCATCATTGCTCTTTAGGCCTCAGCAGTGCATCGCAGCAGCCACCTTCCTCCAGACGAGACACAATCCCCATGCTATGAGGGTTTTTTTGGTCGCCAGACACCAAAAGCGAGGGACAAAGCTGTATTGTTTTCCCATCTCTTTGGCTCTCTTGGCAGACAGAAGGGAAAAAGTATAGTGGTGGTCACTGTGGGCTCACACCAGCTTTTATCACCTGCAGACGTTCGCTGTACGAGCGCCGCAGCCCTGGAGCTCTCCTTGCCCTTTGCAGCCCATCCCGTGTTATATCCAAAGAGCCCTCCACCACTACAGCCTCTAAAAGGCACAGCAGAAGAGAAATCTTTTAAAGAGAGGTGCAGACGGTATCTAAGCTCTTAGAACAGCTGCCACCTAATTTTGGGAAAATCATCGCTATATTCCTGTAATATTTATTGCATGGGGATTATACAAGTTCTCCACCTCCTGGGGCCAGGGTACAGGTTGGATAACACGTTACAATGCTCGGGTCTTCTCTATTGCAAGACGCTGTAGAAATGCAAAGTGTCCTAGTAGGAGAGGTGTCGGATAAACCGGGAGGAAATTAGCTGCTGCTGCTAATGCGCCAGTGTTGACTCATACAAAATTAAGCAGATAGAGGGACAGGGCTGTGCAGAAGGGCAGTGCAGGAGCTACCCAGGACACGCGACTTGTCTTCTGAAGACTTTTCTGGCCCAGGAAGTTCACCTGTCCAACATCAAAGATCCCCCTTGATCCACAGAGTCAAACAGCCACAGATCTCCCTGCAGGCATCATTCTGCACGTGGCATATTTGGATCAGCCCAGCATGATCGGAGCCAGATTTAAGCTAAGGCAAATAATGATACATCTACAGAAAGGTCTGCAGTGTTTCACCACATTGCTTTGAAGTAACAAACAAAAAACCAGGGTTTTTTTGTTTTTTTTTTTAAAGCACCCATGCTTCTCAGATAGATGTGGCCTATGACTGACCATTTTGTGATTTGCAGCCTGGATCTTTACTTCTCCCTGCGATTAAACCAAAACTAAATGCTGGGAAAGAAGGAGATTTCAGTGTTCTGGCACCCCGCTGTCCCCGGAAAGCCTGGCTGTTTTCAGGCCATGTGGTTGTATTTGCAGATGCCAGGAGGAAACACAAAAAAGTTTCCATGGGCGTGGGGACCAGGTAGAAGCCAATGAGACAGAAGGGATTTCAGGAGAAGGAACAAGCAGCAGTCTTAAAGAAAGGGACAGGAAAGAGAATACGCAGAAACACCCCCTTCCTCACCCTGGGTAGCTTCTGGGACGTCACTTGAATGGCATCCTGAAACAAAATAGAGGCACTTTGTTCTAGTTCTGCGACTTTTAAAGGTAATGCAAAAATGCCTCCAGGGAGAATCAACAGAGGGAGGGGGAGCATCTGCACTTCTCCCTGCCCTGGGGCTTGCTTCTGTCCTGGAAAAGGCTGCAAAGGGCTAAAGGGGCCTTGGGCCCCGCTGAGCGAGCTTAACTCTGAGCACAGGCGATGGGGAGCAGGGGCTATGCAGAGCTGGTTTCGACAGGTCCCCAAGATTTCCAAGGGCTTCTCCAAATATTTTCTCAGCAGTACATGCTTGTATCTCCCCTGACTGTGACACGTGCAGCTTCTTTGAGCTTGGAGGACAGGGCAAAGGCATCAGAGAGGACCCCAGAAAGTCTGTAGGCAACCAGCCGCAGACCTGACCATCGCTGCAGCTCCATGGGCTGTTCTCCTACCAGAAGGCCAGTCTGGTTCTCCTACCAGAAAGCCAGCTACAGTCTAGTAAGCTGTTCTACCAGAAACACAGTCCTATGCCAGCCCCCCTCTGGAAACCCCGTCCCCCCAGTATACCTTCCCCTCGGGCATCACCAGCTCCTGACGTGGCTCTGCACCCTTCCTTTCAGGGCTGGAGACATTTGCCCGTCCTAATGTAAAACCCCTTTGTTACTAGGCCGACCACTTCAGCCTTTTCCACTCCCTTCTAAAAAGGAGGGGTTGGGATGTCTTAAAATCCAAATTTGTCTCCATCCCACACAGATGCGGTGTTCTCATTTCCATTAGTGTCATCTATTTACATGAGAAATGCTTGGTGAGGAAATTGAGGTTACTGAGAGAAAAAAAAGTTACTCACATCAGACACAAATCCCTGCGGTGTGTCTCGCAGTGTGCCCTCTTCCAGACCTTGCCCCACATTTGAAGTAGGGCACACTACAATTAAAACACACAGAAAACAGAAAATGCCATGGACTCTTCAGTGCAAGCCTAAGGTGGGAAGTGGCCGTGCTGAAATATTAATTAATTTACTCAAGGTCACTCTGGAAGCTAATGGATGAGCAGGAAGCCGTGCTCGGTGTCTGAGGTCTTGCCCCCAAAATAGCCTCACTCCACCTCTGAGTCAGTGCTGGTGGTGTAAAAGGCACCGGCTCGGAGACCTGCAGTCTCCGTTAACACCTCTGCCAGCATACCCACCAGTAAATCATTTCTACTTGCAGCCACTTCAGGGCTACCGGGAATTAGCCACAGAGGCAAAGCACACTGCTGTGTTTGCAGTCACAGGCACAGAGATACGAAGTACAAAGCAGTCGGGTGTCCTGCCAAGCTGATGGCACGCCTCGGGCTTAAAGAGTGTTAGAAAAGTGTTAATAAGCATTAGAAATGAGCTTGAAATCTGCTTCTATCAACCCTTGTCAGGCTCCAAATGCAAGCAGCAGCATCTTTTCACGTTCGTTGTCTCTGGGCCATCTCTGTAGGTTTAACATGCTCCTGCAGCCACAGACAGGTTTGCTACCCACGCTCAGCCCAGTGCCTTCAGAGAAGTACCAAGAGGAACTCAGCGTCAGAGCCCTTCTCTGCTGGCTGAGGAAAAAGGTGAAAACCCCAAGGTAAATCTCAAGACAAGCAGCCCTTTGGGCCAGTGCTTGTTCTGGAGAGACACCTGCTGGCAATGCCCGCCGAGCCCGAGCTCAGCTCAGGGACACGCTCGTCCTCCCTCCACGGAAGCCAAAGTAGAAATAAAAGCGTAACGGAGATGCGAGGGGACGCTGGGGAAAAGGTTCACACAAACGAGGTGGAATCCAAAGCGAAAGCATGCTGCAAAGCTGCCCGTGGGCCAAGCCCCAATCCCAACTCTGCCGTCCCTTGTGCCTGACCAGCATCTCGCAGCCCCAGACCAGGGCAGGTCACCGGAGCGAGAGCCACCTGACAGATGCTTCGCAAGAAAACAGGGCTGAAGACCCGCAGTCTAATATACCTGAGAGGTTTGAGCTTGTTCAACCATAACCAGTTTCTAACTGCCCTCCCCACCAGCCCGCTGATTTTAGGACAGCCAAAGAAACCCCAAATTCCCAGGAGGTGTGAGCTAAATCAAAGTAACCTGAAACAGGAGCATTCAGGGCTGGATGGGTTGGCTCGAAATCCTATCCCATTCTAGGCAGGAGAAATCCGGGCATGAAGCTGCATGCTACATGCAGGGACACGCACACTCGTGAGGAAGGACATTTGCAGAAACCCTGGCGATCAGTGCCGAGGAGGCACATGCCTATAAGATATTTTAACTCCTGTATCTCTCTGGGAAAGCGGCAGCTTCAGGCCAGCTTCTCCTTCCTTTGCACAGGACCTACTGGCAGGAGGTTTAACTAACAGCTGCTCAGGTGAGAAGCGAATACAAGGACACCCCCAGGACTAAGCTAAAGCTCCCAACCAGTGATTTGAGGGTTGTTTTCTACTTTTGTCACAGCTGGATGCTCTGTTCGCTGCATTTTCTCCTTGCTAGCACTCTCCTGCATGCAAGGCTTAAAGGAGAACACACGTCAGAGTTGGCAAATTACCCCCGAGCCAACACTCATGCTGTCATTCAGTGTCACATCTTCTCCACTGCTATCACCAGCTTCAGGAACTGCCATCCTTTCCAATCCTGACCCTCATTTCTTCGTCCTTTTGCTGCAGTCCTCTGAGCCCTCCGCTGTCCCCATACAACTGTTTGTGGGACAAGTTCGCTCAAGCAAGCTCAGGGAAAGGGACAGACAGGATGCACGGTTTGAACTACTGTGGAGCAGCAACAGGAGATGTCCATTTGCAGGAGTCTCAGTGATTCCTGGTAGCTTTGGAGAAGATGCAAAGGACAAGCTTAGTAGATCTCATAGAAAACAACTCCATGGCTTGGGAGCAACCAGGGGACTGCACTTCCTCGGGGTGAAGTGGTCAGAGAGCATTTTTGCTGGGACATAGTCAGAAGAGAAGGAAAAGGCTGTCAGAGCAGCACTGCCTCTGTCACTACTTGTGTTGACCATGACAGCTTTCCCTTCCGTGGGTGCCCTGTACCCCTCTGTCCCACTTGCTGGGCCTCTTCCCCCACACAGACCCGAGGCAGAGCCCCATGGGGTGAGGAGCTGTGTGCTCCATGCACCCCATCTCCTCTCCCTGACCAGTAGCTTGGAGTCCCCCCGCTGTCACTCCCACAGCAACCACGATAAGATACGCTTGTAAAGAATCTGTTAAGGAGGAGTCTGTTAACAAATGTGCAACCACAAAGCAGCCCAGGCACTGTTCCCTGCTCCTATCACCCACACTCATCACTCTTCCTTCTTTCATGGCAACGCACACCTGTCAAGCCGCAGCCTGCTCCGGTCCCTGCTGAAGGTGGCCAGGGTGCAGGGAGAACCTGGGTGACTGCTCTAAGCGAGCCCACGTTGCTCACTCCTTGGGGCTGGGTAGCAAAAGTGAGTTGTGCCTCACAACCAAGAGCAGGAAAGTAACGCTGAGGGATATCGGGCCATACCGGGCACCGAGAGGCCACTGCACGGGGGGGGGGGGAAACAAACAAGAGAGTAACCTTGATAGCACAACAGTAGCAGCACCAGAGAGGAAATAGTCACTTCTCTTTTATGCAATGGGCAGAGGAAAATAAAAAAGGCAAGACAGTAGCAGTGGTAAAGCCAGAACTACCGCTCAAGCCGTGCTCACTTACCCAGAAGGGAAAGGATTTGCACAGAAGCAAACCAGGGAAGAACTCAGTGCACAGGCAGGCATTTGTCCTGCGGAACAAGCTGGAAGGATGCAAAACACGTGCAATTGCAGAGGACAGCAAAAGTCAAACAAACCAGGGTGTCCCCAGGGAGGAGCTGCAGCACCAGCACCTCCCTTAGGCTGCTATCCTCTGTCTCAAATTATCAGCTGAAGGGGTGACCCGAACCCTGGCAGCCCGGAGCCCATCCACACGGGCAGACACCTTCCAGGGGCATTGCAGGATGGTCACTACGCACCAGCAGACCCTCCTCCTTCCCAGAGCTCCTTCCCACCTCCAGCCCCTTCCCGTTACTGCCCTGCCCTTTCAAGGCTTTATGCTCACTTCATTCCACTGTCTGCACTTTGAAATGGGCTTATCTTCAGTTTTCCATCTTTTTTACTGAAAAAAAGGTCACCTTCCTTCAATTGTAAGGAAAACTTTAATTTTCAGCGTCAAAATCAAAAATATTACCAGTATTTATTTTAAATCTTTGGGGAGCATTTTCAATTAAGATGTGACATGCTACTAAAAAGATAAACTAAAGAAACATTTTGGAAAGTTTTACCTGGGTCTTGCACCACTTAACCAAAAAAAAACTGGAAACCAACCAAATGAGTTCCTACAAGGATATTAATTTTCTCGGTACCAGCCTCTTTAATGTGAAATTTGTTAAATGAGACCACATGTTCCGCGTTCAAAGAAAAGGGGAAAACAAAGAGAGAAGCCAACATCGCAGAGAAGACATTAAAGAGAACTTTGAAGCAAACCACAAATAAACCAAGATGAATATATACTTCTTTAAAACACAAGGAGCCCTAACGTTTGCTGCGTTATGAAATCCCCTTGGTTGTGACAGTTGCGACAGCGGACAGGATATTCTAACACAGGCTTGAAGAAGGGTGGAAACACATAGAACTGCCATTGCAGATCAGAGGAGGTCCTCTGCTGGCGAGGAAGATGTTTTCAGTTTGGATGCTCCCAGATCACTCTGGGCCTGGATGGTTACTCCTCTCTTAGTCAGTATTATGGATTTATAAGGAAGTAATTATAAGGAATCCCTGGACAAGTACCAGTTAAAGAGAAGTAAGAGCTGGCAGGGTAAATTCTTAAGAGGATTATATTCAACAGTCTCATGAAATTCCAAGCAATTTTTCCCCAGCTGCTCTTTACTGCCACTTTCCAGTAAGCAGAGCAGGAAGTAATGAAGAGTTGTTGTCTCATAAAAATAGCGTACGAGCAGCTCAGGTCCTGACTGGCTGGCCCTGATCCCTTCCTATCTGTAACTACAGCCCTTCGCTGCGGCGTGCCGGGAAATGCAAAAAAGCAAACTCAAAGCATCACAGTAGCTCAGAGGGTTTCTTCTGGAGGACAATTCAAAGGCTTGTTATGTCCAAGCTGGTGGGGAGTGGTTGGGTTTTTTTTCTTCATGCCACATACATATCACAGCATTCTGCCCACCTTCTGAAGGCACTCCTCACCTCCCCAGCCCTCTTCCAAGAGCTTCCCTCATCATGTGTTGTCTGGGGCTTTCCCTTACACTAGGTTTAATTTCCTCCACAAATGGTGCTGACCTCCAGGAATCCACTTATCAGCAGTATTAAGGGATACAACGTGAATATGGACCCTACACACCCAATTCACCAATCCTTGTAACAAATTTAATATGTCTTATCATTCCCAATACTCCAACTGAAGCTGAGAGCTCAGAGACTATGAGAACAACTGTAGCACCCCATCATGAGAGCTGTGATACGCAGCCCATGATTATACCGATAAACAGCCACTACAATGATGGCTTGTTTTTTTCTTTTTTTTTTTTCCAGAACAAAGGAAAAAATACTCCAACTCCAACGTCATCATGCATGAGACTTCACAGTACCACGTACAGGTGAGTACACAATCAAATGTTAAGGGGCTGAAAGGCCAAAGGCAGTGATAGATGCTGGTAACACCATGTGTTCCATTTGTCCCGGACCTTCATGAGGCCAAAAAGGAGTTGGGTACCTTCTTACAATAAGCAAGTATTGCTCTTCGCACCCTGGGAGAGGCAAACAGCAAAAGCTGCTTGAAACCTTGTATTTCTTCAGTTCCTGGCTCCCCAATGCCTGTAGATAAACTTGTCTCCTGAGCCTCCCACCCAGCTAGGTCCACTCCTTATTTCTAGCTCCTGGACTGTAGGACACACTTTCAGACGTAGCCATCTGCTGTAATTGTCCTCCTTGAGCTGTGGGTCACCATGGTGTGGTCTAAAAATACCAGCTCTCCTGCCATCTTCTATTTCTCTGCTGCTTCTCCAGCTACTTGCTTTGGAGAGCAGCAGTTGTTCCATTATGGTATGACATTATTTGAAAGTCCAAGCAAATAGACTCTGGTACAGCTCACAGATGCTCCCACAAGGCTACAAACAGCTTTCCAACTCTGAATCATGCTCGAATCCCATAACGAAGCCGGGTCTAGACTCTGATGGCTTCTCCCACATTGCGTGATGCAGCCCATCCCTGACCATTTAACTGGATCCCTTGGATCCCACACATTTCTTTGAACTGAAGAGCGGGAGAGACGCCCACGTCAGACAGACTGCTTTGGGGCTGGGGAGGGAAACAGAGACTGGTCGCCGCTTCTGCGTGCCCAGCGTGCTGACCTACACCAAAGACTTTTGTCCCCTTTTATTTCCTTTCTGAATAATCAAGTTTCAGCAAATTAAAGTGTTGAGTAATTGGAGAGAGGAGAATGGGGCGGAGGGGAAGATGTTAACGAGTCAAGGGAAATTCTGTACGAGGAAATGGGAAATGGAGAAGCTGTTGTCCCTCTCATCACCCCAGGCTTCAAAGCCTTCTTGATCAGCACGGACAGACACGTTGAGAGCAGGGTTCCCGCGATGGTTACAGGAGCTCACCGGCCAAAACAGAGACCACATCGCCTGTCATCTTTCAGCTCCCCCTCAGCTACTCTGTCCTCTCGAGTAATTCAAAACCCTTCAGCCATAACAGGCATTAAGCCAAATTCATCTCCCATCCACTTCAAAAGAGGAGCCAGCCTGGCCGTCCCAAGCCCGGCGATTCCTGGAACGCAACGCGCCGGTGCAGGCCAGTGGCCTCCGTGCCGCAGGAACAGAGATGCCCGTCTGAGCCCAGCTGGACCGTTCATCGCTGAAAACTGGGCAAGGCGAGAAAGGAAAACGCTTTAGGAGGTTCATATTTAGTAGACAGGGCACTCTCTTCTCTGGTTTAAGACACCAGTGCAGCAGAGAGCTTAAGTACACAGTTAGAGATAAAGGAGCTTAAATTTTAAGCTTTTGCTTAAAATTAAATTTAGACTTTTAAAAATGCTTGTTTGGAAAGAGGCCCTGGTTTCCATCGGAGAAACTAACTCAACTGCCCTGTCTGTGGCCCTGCCAACCACCCCCATCAGCAACTCCTACCAAATAAAGTCACTCATGGAAGCAGAGAAGGGACTTTAAACAGTGACACGTACATGAATTCTTTATCAATTATGCTATATGCCACCCATTTGTGAGTCTCTACTTTGAACTTTGACCAAGGCAAACAGGGTTTCAGTGGCAGGCAGCGAGGTAGGAAGAGGTTTCTTCACAAGAGGTATTTTACACCCTCTGAAGTAATCCAGAAGCTGATCAAAGTTTAGTAGTGGACAAGTCATTGCCCATTCTTACAAAAGCTACTGTGTCTCAATATCCATCTGGGTGAAAAAGGGTTTTAATGAGCTCAAAGACAGCAGCAAGCTTCTCCCACTCCACCAGTATCAAAAAAAAAAAAAAAAAGAAAAGAAAAAAATGTTCTAATGAGTCTGAGTTAGACAGGTATCTTTCCCCTCCATGAAACTTAAAGTAAACCACAAAGGAATTTATGAAGATTGTAAACCTGACAGTTAAAATAATAGAACAGATAAGAATGCCCGTCATCGGGTATAAACCAATTCTCTTCACTGTTCAGAAAGCAGAGGGTTTGTCACCCCTGCACAGATAATATTGACTTTGCAAATACTTTTTTGTGCGCTATTTTACAATTACAGTAACATACCTGAGCACGTTTTTCATATCTGATCACATAGTTAATCTCAGCTTTCAGCTCAAATGCCTGCCAGGAGTTTTATCTAGACAGTGCCTCACCCAATACCTTTGCTTTATGGACACAGGATTGGGTCTTGCACTCGGCAGCGTTTATCCTCTTCGCTGCTCTTTCCAGTCTTTGCAAATTATCCAACCACCACCTTAACAACAACTGATCACCACAAATCCTCTCCACCCCTAATTCCCACCATCAACCATCGTGTTTAAAGACTCAGTCCTTTCTGCTTGTCAGGGCTACCCATGCTTTAAATCTTGAGCCTTTCCCGCTGCATCCACCTTGTCTGGAGCCGATTGCAACAACGGCTGCCTGTTGAATTGCCCGTGGCAGGGGACCTGGCCGAAGCCCATACATCGTGTGGATCCCACCTCGGCACACAGGACTAACATTTGGCCGTGGCTTGTGTGAGCTCTTTGCCTGGGACAAATTCCACGCAGGGAGATCTGCTACACAAGAAGAGCAAAATGCGAGTGCTTTTAGCTTGGCAAGTGAAGTTTATTTACCAAATTTAAACTTCCAAGCCAGTTTCAGAAAAGCCAGGGGACTAACTTGTGTGTACAAAGCATTTGCAAACATGTGTTGCTGGATGGGGGCCAGTGCTGCTAGAATCAGCATATGATGAGATAAATATGCAAGTGGTGAAACTCGTTATGAAAACCCTTGCAGCATTACGAAACCCTAATCTTTCGCCACCACAGACAGGCTGGTAACAACAACCGGAATGTACACTTTCTGCAGTGACTCTTTCATGCCTGTGCTCTAAAGAGCAGACAAACAGTAGTTCAAGCCTTTAGAGATGGTTTCACCGCTGATTTACAGTACACACAACAAAGCTTTTTCACCTGTTTTCTCCTCCTTTCCTCCTAACTTCAGCACTTGGCCACATTCATCATGGACAAGAGCGAGTCCATCGTGACGGTGGACGACGCTATTCGAAAACTCATCTTGCTCAACTCAAAAGAGAAGATCTGGACGCAGGAGATGCTGCTGCAAGTGAACGACAAGTCCATCCGCTTGCTGGACTGCGAGTCACAGGTACCCGGAGCTCTGTAAGAGCTACCCACAGGTTGACGTATTGGGTGCAGCTCGTGCCCTTCCCGTTCAGCCTGGGAGACCCATTTCCAAGGAACCCAAACAAGGGCAAATCACTACCAAAATTCACTCCTGCGCGCGCGGGGGCTGGTTGACTCGAATTCAAAGGGCAGGTAGGTGTGGGATGATTTATTCACAGCTCCAGAGCACAGATACTCCAGGTGAAAGATACCTTGAGATGTGCTTCAGGCCAACAGTAGAACTGCTTTCTGTGGGAGCAATGCAGACTTACAGGTCCACAGAAATCTGCATAAAGCATAAACAGAGAAGGAAGGACATCTTACTTGCATTAAAATAACAGGCAGGATCACCTGCCTGAGAACAGTGCCCCATTTTGACAAGTGAGACACGTACGTGCACACAGAGCACCTAATCTGAGGGGAAAGAGCAGCCAGAGTGGGAGAGGGATGGTGCTGCCCTGGTTTTAGCAATGAGAAACTAAAGAATATTAGCCCAAGGTCATCCAAGGAGACAGTGGGAGGGCAAGCCCTCACAGAAAGCATCTCTCCTCCCAGTGCTCTGCTGAGATGCATGACATTTGTACTGATGCAGGCAGAGCCCAGCAATAAGATGGTGAGCAACAGAGCTCAACTTGTTAAGTCTCACGCTAGGCCCCATGTTCAGGACTCAGAAGAGCTCACCTCTGTTTGCCATCCACCTCTCTCCTACTCCGCAGTCCCAAGCCACTGCCCCTCTGCAAACCCAGCAAACCACTGCTGAGAAGCATAAGCTCTGCCAGGTCTCTCTCCTCAGACTGGGATCCCAGGAGTCCAGACACAGGACCGTTATCTGTCAGTTCAAGAGTTCCCCACTGCCTGACCCCTTCCTCTTTCTCTTCCAGGAGGAGCTGGAAGACTTCCCTCTGCCGACAGTCCAGCACTGCCAAACGGTGCTGAACCAGATGCGCTATTCCTCCATCCTCCTCCTGGTGTGTCAGGACTCAGAGCAGCACAAACCTGACATTCACTTCTTCAACTGCGACGAGGTGGAGGTGAGCAGAACCCTCCTCGCAGGTGTGAAACAGAGAAGAAAATACACTCCTAGCTCTCTGCCAGCCCCTTCTCTCTTTGCCCACTTAGAGCCCTCAATCGTTTCCAAAGCAAAGCCCTTAAGAACATCTCTGTTTTATCTTTGAGGCGGAGATGATTCACGAGGACATAGATAGTGCCCTGGCAGACCACAAGCACGGGAAGAAGATACGGCCACAGACACTCAAGTAAGTACTGCAGGATACAGCTGGGAGTAAAGAAAAAAAAGAAAAAAGAAAAGCCCCATTTGCAATGGTGTGTTTGCTCACCAGTCTCCCAGGAACACTGACAAGGTTGTTCTGTGTTGTTTCTCTTGCAGAGCAAACCAAGAAAAGATCAAGCAGAGACAATCCATCCTACCACCGTTGCAAGGGCCAGCTCCCATCCCGATCCAGCACGACATGCGAGGCTCAGGGATGAACAGGAACCGGGTAGCACCCCCTTCTCAGCATGACCCAGGTACTGGGAGCGCTCAGCGAGTCTGTCCTGGGGACAGGGGACTCATTAGCCACAGCCTGGCCTGTGGTCATTTCAGTCCCTGTATTGCTGGGACACGAGGAAGACCAGTGTCTTTTCACTGCGTTACTTTCTAACACAGACACGTACCAAAGGCACAACATTTTGTTGCATCTCTGGCCGTGCTTTATGAAAAACATTTCTACGCTCTGGGCTAGCAGTACGCATCTTCTCAATGGCGGCTCAATAAATCAGAAACTCCTTGTAACGACACCTGTATTTTGGGGACACTGAAATTCCTGAAAGAGGTGAAAGCCCCCCATAAAACTGAGCCATCACATGCAGTTTGGACCAGGCACCGGTGATGTTAAAATGTACAGACAAGACAGGCCTGGTCAGAAAGGCAATTTCCTTCACAGGAGCCAAGATTTCACCCTCAGAAATCAAGTGGTTTGCATGAATTCTCCTAGAGTTGAGTGTGGAAATGCAGATCTGAACTCACTTCTCTCATGCGCTAATCTAAAATCTTTTTCCAAAACCATCCTGAGTTCAGCCTGTTTGAGATGGCTTGAAAAAAACTGTCTTTCTCTTTGGAGAAAGAAGTAACAGAAATAAGCTCCTGGTAACAGAAATAAGCTCTTTCTCTGACAAAAGCTCCCATTGACTAAAATGACCAATAAACTTTATGCGTTTTTATCACTGCCTATTTTACCACCTTCTCTTAGGATTAATTTCTAGATTCAAGGAAAACATGTAATCAGGATACTATAAGAAACTCAAAACACCGGCTAAGGAGAGAAAACACTCATTTCCCCGGGATGGGATCTGAAGCCAAGCAGCTGCTCTAGCCTCCCAAACAGAGATCCTATTTCAGGTCCAGGTTTCCAGAATAAAAATAAGAGCTATATTTCAGAGCTGGACCATGTATATGGTCCATATATATACATCTATATTGTGATGCCCAGCAGTTTTTAATGAAATGGCCATCTTTAACTCTGCCCTTCCCAGAACACTCAGCATAAAGCTTTAAGTGCATTTGTTACATCAGCAGAGCTGGGCATTTACCCAGGCAGGATTTCTGGATCTCAGAACACAGAGCCTGGCATGAAAGCAGGTGACAGGAGAAAGCCTTGGATGATGCCTGTTTGCCGAGATTGCTTCTCCTTTGAAACGCACCTTACTGCTTTTGCTACAAAACCTGTCAAAACTAATCACCTCATCTTAACACTTAGAGATGATGTACATTTTTCACGGTCCTTTGCCAGAACTGCCTCCTCAGTTCTCCCACTTTATAAATCCTACTGCTCAGACACCTGCTGTGCCAGCCCTTTCAAACCCCGCTTCACTGAGCTGACACGCTGCTCTTTGCACAAGAGGCCAGCCAGCAATTGCTCACACTGAAATATCACCCCTTCACTGAGCGTCTGTCTTCTGGAAGCTGGGAGGTACCCGTGGATTTTTTTTATTGCAGGAGGATTTATTTTAATACTCATTAAAAACACTTGAGAGACTGCACACGAGTTTGTACAAAAATGCTGATTTGTGCATAAGCCTGCCCAACCATCAGTCATGCAGAATTCCTGGCGTGCTGCTTTCTAGCAAGCGACACGTGCATTCACTTCCCGGTCTTACGTCTTCTTTCTCAACTATTATTTAGTTAAACTGGTACCTCTGGGACAAGGAAGGCTCCTGCGGAGAGCTGGGGGTTAGAAGAGGGTGGAAGTTACTCTAATTGCACTTTACACACACGTGGAGTGCTCTGCAATGCACGGTGGCTCTTCAGCTCCTCTGCAGGCATCAGTCAGCTGAGACTCATCAAAGGCAAAGGAGTTAGTGACTCACAGCATCTGGAGACCAGGGCCTGCAGGTCTCTGCCAGTAGCTGACAGCTGGCCGCTCTTCACGATTCATTCGCTGCTTATATTTGAAAGCAGGCAGCGTATCAATGCAGGATTGGCAGGCAGGTGCTGTGACCCTTGGAAGATTAATCGGCACCTTTGATCACCTTCTGCTCTTTGTGATCTCCCGAGGTGCTCTCATAACCCAGAATAAACCACCAAGCTGGGAGTTACCATCCTATGGGTCCTTGCGTTTAATGGAGCCTATTTGCAACCTCCGATAGTAAATACATTTTTCTCTTGTTTGCAGACTATGAACGACGAGGCTCTGGCTCTCATGACCACGAAGAGTCCCGAGCTGTCTTAGCACAGAAGATTGAAAAAGAAACGGTTGGTAACAAGAATGGTGCACAGTCAATAGGCAGGGGAGGGAGAAGGGAGGGAGGAAGCAATGGACTCCTCCATGAGGACACGTTGTAGGCATAGTCTAGTCATTGCTAAACTGGTATCTACTGTTCACAAAGAGAAGGTGACCAAAAGCAAAGCTCCATCACTGGGTCAGTTACAATCTCCTCTGACCTGAGGTAGCTCTGCTGAGTTCAGAAGGTCTGCTCCTCCCCAGCCCACAGTCCGGTCTTGGGGTTATTTTCCAGATGTCCATTAGCAGGGGTCACATTGATACATACAGCACACAACCAGGCACAGCTTTCTGTTTGGAAAGTGATGAATTCAGCTTAATTTTATGCCCAGATTCCCCATCCCTGTGCATTCTTCCAGGAAATGGCATGCTCTGGGATTGGGGCTTCCCAGCTGCGTGCAGTTTGGGCTCGCTCTCACCTTGGATCATTGCATTTCTGTCCTGACAGCAAATCCTGAACTGCACTCTGGATGACATTGAAGTGTTTGTCGCCAGGCTTCAGAAGGCTGCAGAGGCATTCAAACAGCTCAACCAAAGGAAGAAGGGGAAGAAGAACAAGAAGAAAGGGCCAGCAGGTACAGTGCAGCAGCTAGAACAAAAGGGGAACGCAGGGGCACGGATAAGGGTTGGGAGGAGACCTCAGCTCACATCCTAGCAAGGCCAGACTGAGGCAGCAGCACAGCTACAGACCCAACAGCAGCTACACCAGTCTGGAAAGTGCTCCTCATCTGTGCAGACCTTTTGTAGACCACACAGAACCTAGTGAAGCGTCCAACACAGAGAAAGACTTTTGGCTTTTCTTGAACCCTTGATTTTAAGTAGTTCTAGTCTCGACACCCATTATTGCTCTGTCTTCTGCATGCTAGCAAGATAAAACTTTCCTGAAAAGGGATGCCCTAATTAAAGTGTCTTTCTCTCCACCTTCTCGCAAAAGAGGGCATGCTGACTCTTCGAGCAAGACCCCCAAGCGAGGCCGAGTTCATCGACTGCTTCCAGAAAACCAAACTGGCTTTTAACCTCTTGGTAAGGCACAGAGGGTATTTACATCTCATGCAGTGACAGGGCTTTTTCCCCCATACATCACAGTAGTAAGCATTTAAAGTGAAATTTGAACTGAAATTTGAACTGAAAACACTAGGAAGGGACAAAGGGGTGAATTCCAGATTCTTCAGAATCCAGAACAAATGTAGTACCAGGCTTGTGCAGGGTTCTTGGGCCAAGTTGTTAAACTGAAACTAGAAGCGTAAAGTCCAGGATGAGCCTGAGCAGCCAGGGCCCGTGCAATGCCGGGATCTCTTTTCACATACAGACCCAACTTAAAGCATTTGTGAAACTGTGAGCTTAGAGAGCCAAGAACTGCCACGCTCACCTTGCTGATAGCTCTGCAAAGGCTTATCTAGACATCCCCACTCTAGCTATTCACTTCTGCTTGTGGCCTTTAAAAGTCTGGGTAGTTTTGTGACAGCTCTGGTCCTTGTTATCTCTACAAAGCATAAAATGGAGGACTGCAAATATTAAAAAATAAATAAAAAGAAGTCTTATCTACTTTAAATTATTCTCATCCGATTTTGCCCACAGAGCAGCTGTAAAGCTGCCTCAGCCAGGGGCCTGGAAAGTCTCTGGTTAACAATAACTGGTGTCCCCACTGCCCTGAGGTTCCTGGTTTCTCTCTTTCTCCCTTGGAGGAGCTGCCGTCTTAAGAAGGGGATGAAAAGCAGGAGCATAAAGATGCTCCCAATGGTGCCAGCTCCACTTAGTGAAGTATGCGAGACCAGGAGGGTAACGAGCCAGAAGGAAATTCTGTCAGTTCTGACCAAACTTGCCCAGCGAACACATCCTAACAAGATCCTTCCTGAGAAGTTATTAGTAAGGAAACCACACAGACTGTAAACAACCTTAATGCAGGACACCAAGCTCCAACCTTTTCTTTTAGAAGCAACTATGCATAAGTTTTGCCTGCTCAGGATCAGAACTGAGTCTTGCAGGTGGCAGCTCTGGCCAGCAATCACCAATCAGGCACGCCACTGAGGCTACGCCACGCATCCACTGCGGGATGTTAACTTCCCTGAAGAATCAGCTGAGGCTGCTCCAAGCATAAGGAAATCCCAGAAATCTGACTGCTGGCCCAGCTGGGATAAACATAGTGCAGTCAGCGTGGTCAGGCAAACCCTTAGCGACAGCACAGGCCTGCGCTGCAGTTACCGTCCTACCCTGGCCGCTGCCAATCGTGCAACGTGGCTGTTACCGGCTGTGGATCCGTGCAAATGCTCTGGCACACAGCCCCCGAGCTCAGCCGTGTCTGCCCCAGCATTGCTCTCACGTGAAGCGCCATCTCATTTAGCCACCATGTTGCCATCGGTTATTTCACACTTTCCACTCCACACTGATGTTTAATCACCAGCATTTAAAATGCTTTGCATATTGGTAAGGAGGAGGGAGCCTGTTTTCCATTGCAGCAATGCCAGTAGCGCAGGGCACAAGAAGGAGATGAAAGGAAGCACAAACTGAAGTGGTTTCTCACCACAGCTTAGCTGATTGCCATTAATGAAACGCAATTCTTACGCTAAAGTAATCCTAAGCGTTTGCTCCCCCGCCCTACCACAGCCTGCTCCAAATACCAGCATTTCGAGTGACCAGGGCAGCTCTAGGTGCCACAGGCAAGACCTCGGTGGAGATTTTTCAATTTGCCAAGGGACCCCACAATACACTTGCTCTGTTGTTTTCATTCAAACAAGTGGGATTTTCAACTTTCAAGAGCCAGAAGCAATAGGCCTGGCCCTTCCTCACTAAGACTTTCAAAATAAGCCAAGGTTTTCACTTCTGCTCAAAGTAGCCTCAAAGGGACTGATTTAACAGAGTAGGTACGCCACCCCTCCTGAAATTCAACACCTTTAGAAATGGGCACAAAATAAAAATTATCTAAAACCAAATGATTCCTACTCCCCAATCACTTGCTTTTCTTCCCTGATTTCAGGTGCTCTGTTGAAAGTTTCCTTACTCTTTAGGCTGTGTTATTAACTGCAGCAAGTATCAGTCAGCAACAACCCCTCCATGTGACAGAAAAGAGAAGGCAAAACCAGGTTAGGGTTAAACTGGGTTTCTTTTCTCTTTTCAGGCCAAACTGAGAAAGCACATCCAGAACCCCAGCGCTTCAGAGTTGGTGCATTTCCTATTTGGGCCATTGGAACTGGTAAACTTTATTGACAGGTTTCACTGTGAACTCGCTTTTTATTCCTAATGTTGCTTTCACACTTACACGCAGCTAGATTACGCAGAAGAGCGAGAAGAATACTCACAACTGGCTAAAGCTTTCTCAGTAAAGTCTAGAAGCAACAACGCCAGTGTTTCTGGCCTCTGATCTGACTTCCAGCTTGAAGTAAATACACAAACCCTAGCAAATATGAAACTTTCCCGCCCATTAACAAAGACTTACTGTGAACAAAAGCGCAAGCCAGCTACGGTTCCTATTGGGAATCTGCCTGATCTCACCGTCAAGCAAACATGGTTCAATATTTGCACTGAAAATACGAAGCAGAAATCCCAACTTGAATACGAAGCCAGAAGGGACGCAGAAATACCAAGTGATTTTCCATTTTTTTTAAAGTGCTTGCAATGTATCCTGACTCTAACAGCTAATTTCTGCATCAGACCTTGCTTTGACTCCAGTAGAAAAATTTTTGCGTTCCTCTGAACTGTCCAGTCTTCCTCAAAGATTCAGGTTGATGTTTCTCGAGACAACTGAGCTGACCTAAGGATTAGCTGCTGCCAACAGGAGTCAGGTCATCCCTTGGCATGAGGGCTTGCCCTCTGGCTTTCATTTAATACCTTGGAGAACTTAGTCAGGAACTATTTGCCTTGTTTTTCCAATTGCTTTTTCTTAAAAAAATCTGTCAATCTAGTACTATCAGTGCAGTGCAAGGATAGATAGTGCTGAGAGAATACAGCATCCCTTTTAGGTGGCAGCAAACCGTTTAGTTCATCTGTGTTGTGAAACTTCACCCTTACATATGAAGGCATAGAGGAGAACTTTGGAAGTGCAAGTCTAATGTGAATTTGCCTGGTTTTAGAGGTACTCACCATGGAGGGTACACTGGCTTCCTTTGGAGCAGGCAGGCACAGAGACCTCAAAGGATCAGAGCCACTGAATTTTCTGTCTTTGATTTCTGTTCCTTTGCGTGTGTGCTGGTTTGATATTTTGAACATTTCCTGCAAAATCTCTCATATTTGTGTGTGTTCATGTGTAATCCAGATCATCAATAGCTGTGGTGGCCCTGAGCTTGCCAGGTCTGTCGTCAGCCCACTTCTTTCTAAAGACGCCACAGATTTCCTCAGAGGACACCTGACACCGAAAGAGATAAACCTCTGGGACTCCCTGGGAGAGGCGTGGACCAGATCCAGGTGAGGACAGAGCTGCCACCTCACCAGGTTCCCCAAGCTCTTGAGAAAGGCAGACAGGATGCTTGATTGCGTAGCAATCAAGAGAGGGTCAAGGATGCCCCTGCTTCTCCCTGACGTGCTTGCAGAGTCACGTTCCTTGTGAATCTCACCACATATTCCCCACTTCCTCTCCTAGAGCTGAATGGCCCCGAGAAGCAAACATCCCCACCTACATCCCCAAATTCCGCAATGGCTGGGAACCGCCCATAGAAATCTTCCGCGGCGCTCCCTGGGAAATAGACATCGGACACTTGCAAGAGGAGGTTAGTCCTGCGCCCCCCGTCATCCCCTCTTGTTTTCCCCTCCCTCCCCCTTTTTCAGAGCAAGACATGGATCTGTGGACTTGGCAGTGGTGTGTAACCACTGTGTGTGCTTTGAGTCGGCTCAAAACTCAGTTGGATCTGGTCGCTCCAGTTAAAAAAAAAGAAATCAAATAAGGCCAGAAAAGGGCAGCAATAATCAGCCTCACCTCCAGGAAACAGGATACTGTACCATAACTGAGCCCCATTGACACAGGTTTGCCTGAAGAACATTTCTTTGGCGCGCACCCCATCCTGACCAAAAGCTTCCAGGGCACGATTCATCTACTGCTATCACTGTCCTTTTCTCCGATACAGCTTCCCCCTTTCCTGGTAACACCCACTCCGTTTTTACCTCTCCAGCTATCATCAGCCAACGGATATCCTTACCGTAACTCCTCACTCAAGCGTGGCCAGACCTCCGACCAGACACAAGCTGTGGATGCCTTTAAACAGAACGTAACTCAGCATGTAAATAGGTAACGTATCGGCACCACGGCGCCTCGGCTCCCACCTTGGAACCTCATAAGCACCCACTGCAACACACTGTGACACCAGGATGTTTTGGCATCCTGGTAGATAACTCTCTGCCATTATTAATTCAGACTTGTTAACAAGATCACGAGAACTCAAAGATCAGATGAGGGATTATTCATGTAAACACTGCCTGTGTTTTAATCACCAGCAGGTCTACAAAGAAATGGGTTACATGTGTTTTCCACCAATCAGTATGTCTATTTTCATAACATCAGCCCACCAAAGTGACATTCAGGATCACGTGCCAAAGACACTGCGCTGCACTTTTGTTCTGCATACATTTAGAGAAGTCAGTGTCTCTCCATTCATCCTAAAGCCACAACAGCTTGCACAGAAAGAACCTGCTTATAGGAGGACTCTGTACTAAAGCGTGAGCACACGCAAGCTTTCCGCTGCTGAAAAAGGCAGCGCTGTGAAAGAACAGCCTGACCTCAGCAGCGCTGCACAGAAAACCTTTTAACTGAGGCAGTGCTGTTTCATTTCACAAGAGGCAGCAGCTCCTCCTTCTGCTTTTAGTCACAGCCAAAGGCAAAAACATTTATTAGAGGCTGAATAAAAGGAGAATGTGTTTCCCATCTCTCCATCAGGAAACTGACAAGAGGTTGAGTTCAGACAACTCTTCTTGATCAGATAAATCCAGAAAATAGGGAAAAAAACCCTCCTTCCCTTTCCCCAGGGGTCTTGGGAAGTTCAGCTCCCAACCCAGCACCGACCTGGCCAGCCCTTTGCCTCAGCCTTTTTTCCCCAGGGAAAGATGGTTCTTTCACAAGTTAAGCAAACACCCTGCCTCGCTGCTAGTTTTCTATCACCAGTTACTCACTGGTATAAAATCTTTATGAAAGTATTTTCATAAGTCAAAGTTTAGAGGCTTTTCATCTGCTTGTTTGTTTACACGGGCTTACGCCTTTGAAATTTTCCCCGAGATGTCTGAGTTTCAAACTTCCCAAATTGCAAATTAATTCTCTGCAATACTCAACTTCACGTCAAATCACTGCAAAGCGATCAACTTCAGATCTTTAACGGCTGGAAGTCCAGACCCAGCAAAGCACTTAACCATGCACTTTTCTGTAGCCAGCTGTAGACTGGGAAAAAATTCAAGCCAGACTGTTTTTTCATGGATTTATGTTCTAATCTAAAAGATTTATAAGCTCTACTACTACTACAACAAAGCTCAAATTCACAGCAAAATACCTTAAAACTAATTATATCAGCAAAATAACTTATTCTTCCCATTCACCCCATCAAAGGTCCTGGTGGGTCCATAAAATGGTACAGATGCAGTGTTGAGTAGTGAAAGAAGTATGGCAACAAATTCTTTTCTCCAATTCCATTTTTCTCAGTGAGGTTACAAAAAATAAGGAGAACTGAGTTTACATGAGAGCATTTAAGTCTATCTTTAGTGACAGGTACATAATGCACGTAAGGAAACATTTTCATCTGTTAGTCTCAGCACTGGCAAACTATAAATAGTAGCATTGAGTCCTGGAATACGAATTAACAGCGTGCCTTTTTACCAAGATGATGGTTTCCCTGAGACACCACCCTGTCTAACTATAGTGTGAGCGTAGGTGAGGATCTGTTTTCTCCTGGGATAGGTGTTGTACCTTTTTACCTACCTTTCAGACTGTCAACAGCAAGTTTTCCTTAGGGATAATGTTTAAGAAAAAACATCAGAGGCAATGGCACTGAAGCAGATGCTAAAACTGAGAACGCGGTTAGACACCTTCTTCAGTCCAGAGCAGACGTCAGCCAAGTCTGCCCAGACGTTTGCCAAGATCACAGTCCTGGGACAGACATATTTCATATTTTTTCAGAGTAGTTTGAACTAGTTTTCTAACCACGAGACCCTATATTAAGAAAAAGACCCATGCATCAGTACTGCTATTTACACCAAAGCTTTTGGCTGCAGAGAAGTGTCATGAAAGCCCCGAGCAATATTGCAATAATCAGCAAAGGTCGCTTGTGTAAAACCTAGGCACATGCAAAGTACACATTAGCCTCAAACTCCTCCAGCCTCACCTCTTCCCTTGTACACTCATTTACCTTCTGGAATGCTACAAAAAGAAGTAATTTCTACCTAACTCGGCCTTTCCTCTCCCTCCCTGCCCTCAGGGCGCTGCTGGGTAAGGCCACCACTCCCTTTCTGGGCTGATTCAATCTGCCAGTTTGCTCCAAGCTCTCCCCCGCTGCAGACTTACAACTTATATATCGCACGTGGCTGTAACTAAACCAAGAGTTGTCCCAAATCAAGCGAACTAAAGACAACACCACTACAGCCGCAGGCATAATATCAAACCACTGAACCAGTGGTTTCAACCTTTTTCAGACCACCAAAAGTTACCTAATGAAGACAGTAAAATGAACTGGAACCAGGCCTAATGGGGTTGCTTTTCAAAGTCAGGTTTTACAGATGCCTCAGCAGCAGTCTGCAGAGAGCCGAGTTTCCACAGATCACAGATTTAAAATCATTGACCAAAACCAAGGACTCGGCAGTGGAAACACATCAGGCTAAGCCCCATAGTTGCTAGTACAGCGCTGGAAGCACTGGCTTCACTGACTTACGCAGAACTTCACACAAACCGGAGGAGAACCCAATCCTCGTTGGCATGCCCACCGTGAATACGGCACCGGGAACCTTCTGCATTGGGTGGCTGTGCCAGTTGCAAGTCATACGCAGGAAGGTCCATGGAAGGTGCATTAAGAGAGTTCCTACTTGCCCTTACACAACAAGGCAAGACAGTTTTCCCATACTGCAAACATTTTTGGAATTAAAAAAATAACACTACACCCATCTTAACAGAAGAAAAAGATGAGATCTGCAAAATTTTCCTAAGCCAGGCAAAAAAAAACCATGAAGAAATAAACCATTTCAGTTTGGGTCAAAGGAAATCTTTCATTCCACTTTTTCACCATTTTCGACAATCTGCCATACTTAATTTTTGTCTCTCTCTCCAAATGAAAAGCCAGTTCAACATTGAAAGCCGTATATTCTTGTGTCAGAAATTCCCAAGCAAAATACTTAAAACACATTCCTCTTCCCCCAAAATGCAAAAAAATCTCAGAATAGAAACGTTCAAACTCACCCACAGAATTCTGCTCCAGTAGCTCAGCATTGCCTAGTGAAAAAACCCACAGATTTCCAGTCAGATCTATCTATGGACATTTTCAACACCCTTGCCCCCACACTGATGCCTGCTTCTCCCCTGCTCTGGCATACAGGGCAGATGTTTCCACTTACCAGGACACGTGGGGTTCACACTTCTTTTCACGAGAGGTGCAATCACAGCATCTTGTCTGTGCTTTGCTCCCCACTCCTTGCTGCAGCAAAGGGCCAACTCACAGGGGAAGAAATTTTTTCTTCCACCCCGAAAGCAGCAGCTTCACAGTCCTTGATAAGACCACTAACCAAACAGCCCTACAGCTTGGGTTGTAGGGGTTTTTTTTCCAAACACAGGGTGTTTCACTAAAACAAGGGGTGAAAATCTTCCTCAAAATAGAGCAGCAACGAGGCACAGCCCTCTCCTAACACAAACACAATTGTCTCTCTCCCTACACTGGCACGGTCTTCACTGCTCCTCTTTGCCAGTGAACTTACATTGCCCTGATTATTAGATGGGTCTCCATTAAAACTCCTCTTTTTTTTTTTCCTCCTGCAGGAATTTTGAGGCACAGGGAATAGCTCTGCCGAAGAGATATGCCAAAATCCGCTACGATTTCACTGCGCGAAATGCCAATGAACTCTCAGTGCTTAAGGATGAGATCCTGGAGGTAAGCGAAGATGCTTGGGGAAGAGGTGTGCCCTCCTCCCCTCTCCAGGAACAGCGGGGAGATTGCAAGATACTGGCAAATGCCAACTCATTTTTGCTTGTTCTGAGCAGTAACACAAGGCTTTGCTCAAATCTAAAGCTTTACAGCTGAGCTGGAGCAGGCCAACTATTCATTGGGTCATTTGCACAGCTGAAACACATCAGTCACATCTTAATTAGCAATGAGGAGGAAGAAAAACAAGTCACTGTAATACACTGCTCACCCACTTGCTGGGCATATGTTATTACCATTCCCTGCCCCCCAAGGAATTATTTTCTATTAAAATGTCCTTTTTCATAACCTTTCTCTTGGCAGCTGGAGAATGTAGGACATGACTTGGTGTACATGCTAACAGATCTATGACTTGACAAAGAGACTTCTGTTCAAAATGTAGCTGGAATGAGAAGCATCTGTGGGTCTTGCCAGCAAAGCTCATCCTTTCAGGGGTGATTACTTTAAAAATAAGCTAAATAAAAAATCACAGTTCTGGGTAAAAACAAGCCTGCTGAAAGAAGCAGGGGGCAGGTGAGATATCTCAGCAAGAGGCAATCTCCTTGCCACATCGTGGTTATGATGTGATTATGTTATGTCTTATGATGTAACACGTGATCAAGTTATATGATAACGCTCTGGCATCTTTGGCAGGAGTCACTCTTGATTTATTTTTTTTTAATGCACAAAGACAACACAAACTCAGTCACTGGAAAAAAAAAAAAAAAGAAAATGGAGAAATAGGCAAATTAAGTAGGAACTATGAGTTCTGCTGCACTCCAGGTCTGTTTTCCCCCAGAGATGCTCTCCTGTTCATCACTAGGATAAGTTCTGATGCTTTTCAGGAAAGACTTCAGTCCTGAATTGCAAACAAGTGCAATAGTTCTCTTTGCCAGCTCCTGGCCTCAGCGATGTTACTGTGACAACTTCATGCTACCGTGCAGTTTATTTCCACGTTATGCCATTCATGCACACCAGAAGTCTGATGTTCTCACTAGCAAATGTGGTTTTTTTTTCCCCCCTCTCTCAGGTGTTGGAAGATAATAAGCAGTGGTGGAAGTTGCTCAACCGGAGCGGGCAGGCTGGTTACGTCCCTTATAACATCCTGGACGTGGTGAAACTGGAAGACCTCGAACAGGTCTGTAGTCAGGTGATGTTTAACTGGTAGCCAGCTGCAGGGCATAATCAGCCTCTGGGAATAATCCTGTAATTAGACCTCCCTGGATTTCTTAGGATGCTGTGCACAAGTCAGGATGAACCCTCCCAAGCAGACAAACCAGGATCCTGGAGATTCCTGAGTCTCCTATGATAAAACTCTCACACTTTGCCACCATTTACCTTCCTCCTCCCCAGACAAGGCCTATCCTTCCCACCCGTGCGGCAGCCTCATGCTATCCTCCCGTTCCGAGATGCCAAGGGCGATGCCTGCTGCCCACAGCGCCTGGCAGGCAGGGTTACAGGACAGGCGAAGGCTGAGTCCTGTGCTACAGGCAGCAGGCTGCTGTGAAGTGAGACCCTAGCTCAAAGGGACGCCCACCCCGAGCCTAGCACCACGACTTCTTGTCCCGACAGACAAGGTCTCGCATTGAGGTGTCACCAAACGGATGGCTTGAAAGAGTTCCACCTTTAGGCAGCGCCTTGCCCCAACCCCACTTACTTCTCAGCCTATGATTTACCACCTCCTCTGAGGCAAAACCCTGCTGCTTTCAGGGCTGGGCTGTCGACAGGATGAAAGAGCTAACGTGGCCGTAAAAGCAAATTTTGGCACAAAAACACTGAGGTTTTTGTTGGGGGTTGAACTAAAGACAGGCAGTTCCCTCATCCAGTTCAGTTCAGCAGCAGGAACAAGTTATTGGAGTGGAGGTAGATGGAAATACCATCTAAGTGAGTATTAAGTGAATATTGTTCTCAAGCACCTTGCGTTGAAAAAACGTGGAGCTGGAGAGCTCTAAAGGCCCTAAGGCAGTATGGAATTGCTTCCTCACTTAGTATTTCACAGCTTGGGTAAAGCAAAAAGTGCCCCAGCAGGCCTCTGGACAAAAGCCCTGTTTAATCAAGAACATGTCAAAAAACTCTCTCCAGACGGCTCCAGGCACTTGGCAGTGGTCCCACTTAACATCCAGTTACTAGAGCAGTGATGCTTTAGCTTCAAATGGGATTTCTCTTTGTTTTCTTCATATAAAAATCCTTTTGCTTCCCTTGCTCTCCATCTCCAAGGAAGCCTATAAGCCGTAATTTCTGCATAGCCGAGTCACGGATGTGAGAGCAGTCATCCACAGCAGTTGTAAGCAAGCATAAAACACGACATCTCCCTGTGTGATGAGTGTGACGTGTTTTCCAGGGGTGTAAATGCCTTCACACAGTCTTCTGCCTCTGGTTTGGGTTCTGTTTGTTGCCGTGAAACCCCAGAGATGAACTTCCCCCATACAGCTCCCCCTGAGGTCCCATCAGCCTCAGCTGAGTGGCCCCAGATCAGCATTGGGAGAACACGGCAATCCGTCCCTCAATTTGCTATTGCGGGTGGAGGGCAAAAAGTTGAAGAAAATTAAGTATGGCAAAAAAAATTCTTACACATTTTTTTCTTTCTTTCTTATCACCTAGTCTAACCAGAGGTACAAAGGAGACCTGAGCCCCAGGGGATATGGACCATCCAGCCCAACTCACAAGCTACCTGCCAGCTACGCTGGGGATAAGTGGGGAAGTGAAATGTTATCGCGCAACTCTCCCCAGGACGCCAAAGAACGTATGTGTCACACACCGCGCTCCCAGCATCTGGGCACCTTTTACACCACACGTGGCAGCCTCAGGCAGCCAGAGAGCATGGCACCATGGCTTTGCATTTCGGGAATTAATCGAGAAGTTTCTGTGAGCGCATGCTTTTGCTCTCTGTGCTGGTGGTTTCCTTTCTTTCTTTATTTTCACCATAACGGACTGTCAAACAGCCAACAGAGCAGCTCTGGGGAGCTCCCTGACTCACGTCACGGGCTCTCAGGCAGCCTGGGACAAGCAGGGCGAAAAGGTGATCACTGTAACCCTCCTTCCAGCTTGACTTTCCTCCTCCTCCCAAGGAGAGAGTTTCCTTTCCCCACCAAAAGGTTTAAGTGTGTCTAAGCAACCACCTACATTCAGGGCAATCCCTTTCTCTCGCTTCCTTTGCTCTTGTCTCCCACCGCACACGCAGTGCCCGCCTGGTCTGTGCCTTCATGTGGTTTCAGAGACATCCCAGCCAGCAGATCTGCCAAATACGAGATTCACATCACTCCCTCACCCTGCGCATGCTACGCGGGGTCACAAAGCATGAGAAAGACCAGGAGCCCTGCTCACCTCACCCCCTTATCACACCCTGCATACACTTGTAGCAAGCTGTCTCCTCGAGGCTGCAACCGGGGTTGATCCCCTGTTCCGCTACCACGGACTCCCGGAAGCAGGAGCCCTTTGGGGAGGGAAAGCCCCGTAATACAAACATCACGGATATGTATCTATTAATAACACTGAGCTATTCTCCACAGTCTTCAGGAGTTTCATGGAAAAAGTGATACTGGTTGATGTGTCACTGGAGTTTTGTGAGTGCGCTGCTCACTCCCAGTTCATGCTTCCTGCCGCTTCTATTTAGCTGCACAGCAAAAGCTGGAGTTCTGAGGACTGGTCCCATGGCAGGGGGGTTGGAACTAGGTGATCTTTGAGGTCCCTTCCAACCCAAACCATTCTATGATTCTATGACTTGGATCAGCAACTTATTAGAAGTAGCAGACAGGACTGAAAAGTAGAGGGAGCAGGGCTACAGCTCAAACACAAGACTCTAATTGTAGGTACTCACAGAATTGGCCTTCCACATCAGGTGAAAGCAAAGGGGCAACAGGAAGAAAATAAATGGCAACACAGGGGCAGAGAAAAATGGGAACCTTGCTCTCAGAAAGAGATAGTCAGGCCTCCCTGACCTCTGCTGTCTCACGTGGTCTAGGTTTTTTCCCCTCCCTCCTGCAGGGCAATTTCCTTATTTCAGTGGCCCAAAGGGAACTAAGTAGCTCAAAAACAGGAAGATGACAAACTAAAGCAAAAAAACAACAGCAACACCAGACACCAGGGAAAAGAGACCCTGGCCCTTGTCACCACCCGGCAGCACCGGTGGAAGCAAAGGCATCGCCAGATCAGGTTTTACACCCTTGAGTAAACTTCTGTTGGTCGGTGTTGCAGGGTTTTATGTCCTTTGAATGAGGTGTGATGGACAGGATAAGTTAGCAACACGAGAAACAAGATCAATCCCAATATAAATTTGTGTATAAAATAGGTGAAAATACAGGTCCTTAGCAGCACCTGCTGCAGACACCAGTCACACAAAATTAATGTGTTCTTATTAAAATGTTCTCATTTTGCTAAATGTGGCACGCTTTTCCCCCAATAAGTGCTTCTGAACAAGAATTTTCCAAGCAGATTGATGGGTAGTTTTGCTCCTGCTGGGTAAAAGCAAGTGCCTTTGCAGATACAAGCTCTCATTTTCCCCACAAACACATTAATTTAATAGGATTTGTGACTAAAGACTTGATTTCATTCCCTACTCCTTACTTTGTGCCTTGTTTCCCTAGAACTTATTCATCAAATGGACGAGCTGAATGATGAGTTGCTAAAGAAGATCACAAACAATAAAATTCAGCCTCCACACAGGAATTTCAAAGTAGAAAAGCCTCAGCAAGTTTTTGTGCCCCTCACCTTCGAATCCAGCACTGAAGAAGTCAAAGCTTGGCTGGAGGCAAAGGCATTCAGCAAAGAGTAAGAACTGCTTTACTACCATATGAAATGCTCGTTCTGCAATTAAAAAGGAGTGGGGGAGGCAGCTTGCAGCATTTCAACTGGATTACAAGTCACTTGTATTTACTTACAGAGCCTGTGTTGCAAATTAGATTTTAATCATATTAAATCTAGGCTATATAACCAGTACAGAGCCAAACTTACTCCCTTTCTTTCTTACACACTAATAAACCTTGTCCTACAGTGCAGCAAAAGACCTAATGAGTAGCTGCAAATGAAGAAACAGTCTTGTTACTCCACACAACTCACAGCCAAACACTGTGCAATGTCCTACCACCAGTGCTTGTCTGGCCGCAGTTAGCCAGTTCAGACTGCTGAACTTAGAGAAAAATAACTAATTAACTAGCTAAACCCATGGCCTGAAATGCAAATTCCAGATGACTGCCCGTCTCCAGAGAAGCTGTCATAAAGTATCCCTGAGGAAGAGCCAAACCCTCAGCCGGGGCTAGCAAATCTTCCCAGCCACCAGGGAAGGACCAAAACTACACGTGGTCAAGGGTTACAAGTTACAACTCACACTCTGCCCAGCGAGCTAAGAGTAGCTCCAGGATTGCTCCCCAAATGTGATGCAACTGGGGTGAAATCACTGCAATACCCATGGGGCTGGGTACACGCTGGATGCCAGGGTGATGCTGGCTTCACCCGCTCCTCATCCCCACCAAGAGCGTGGGTTACCCAAGAGCTGCCCCCTTGGCACAGCCCCAGGGCCTTGCATGTGACACAGTCCTGGTGCAGGGGCTGCACGGCAGCTGCTCCTAGCCCTTTTATCTCGGACTACGCACCTTTGGCAAGAGGCCACGCTTAGCACAATTATCATCTCCTCCCTTTGTGTCTTCCCAGGACAGTGGAACACCTTGGCATCCTTACTGGAGCTCAGCTCTTCTCCCTCAACAGAGAGGAGCTGAAGAAAGTGTGTGGGGATGAGGGAAACAGAGTATACAGTAAAATCACAGTGGAGAAAAACCAACTGGAGGTAAGTAGCTTTCTGGACAATTCCCACCTGAATGGGTGTCTCTACCAGCAGTGTCAGATATCCCATTAAACAGACATTTTAAGAAACACAATTTAAAAAAAACCCCAACAAACAACCAAAAAAACCACACCACCTAAAAATGCTGATAAGTCTTTTAAGCAAAAAGGCCCCAAATGTGTAAGGCAGATCACCCTGTCTGCACTAACGAATCTGCCTTCTTACCGGTATCACTCATCCCTTTGAAACTAGCTCCACTCTTACAGCATTAGTTAAGCATTATAATTTAACTACAGCTTGAAGTTAAAATTCAAACTTTCTGTTTTGTTTCCATTCTAGAAAAGCAGAGGTGAGTCAGAGCTCCAAGAAATCATGAAGCGTCGCCAGGAAAGGATTGATTCTGCTAATTAAAATCTATATCTGCTTTATTTCAGCTATTAGTCATAGTAGTGCAGAAAAAGGGAATGAAAGCAATGAGCCCCAGTCCAGACAAAAGACAGCAGTGCTCCACACTTAGCGGGGTGTAATTGCCATCAAAGCGACAATTTCTTGAATGCTGTTAATAAGGGTAGACAATAAGACCATGTCCCATTGGGAAAGGTGTTTTAATATTGCATGAGTATTTTTTTTTTTATAACTATATATTTTATACTGAAATTTTATGTGCATGCGATCAGGGCAGATCAGAATTCACACGTGTCTGAATGTACAACAATGGCTGGATTCAAGCAAAAAAGACCCCACAAAGCTTTTCTCCAAGGGCTGTACCTGCTCCCAACCCCCTCGCCAGCTTGGCTTGGGAAGAGAGGGCATGGCACACAGCGCAGAACGAGCCAGCTTGCATGTTTCGAGTCTGGACCACGGAAATAGGTCTTTTCCCCCACTTTTCATTTCCTTCTCTGTGGCAGATATCCCCTGCAGCCCACTAGCAACGGCCTTGGGACAATTCACTGTCCTTCTTCTGTCCCCCCAAGCCCCCTCGTTGGATGAGGCTAGAATTGCAACACACATTACCTAGGCCTGGCTGCTTCTTTAAATACACGTACCGGTTAGTGCTGTCTTTAAACAGGGGAAATGGGCTTTCATTGCGTAAGAACCAGAAGGATCCAAGTGACAACTGAAGCGATTTGAATCGGCAAATGGGTGAGCTCAGTCTGATCAGCCCTTCACCTTGGCACTGATCCTGCAGCGGAAAGTTGTGGTATTGCCGAAGCCAGGCCTCAAACAAGGAGACAGTAAGCCCCTATGGTTCCTTCCCAGACCAGTTGCACCAAAAGCCCTTCCCAGGGCGTTCGCCACTCATCCCCACCTTCACATTTTCATTGCAAACAGTAATCTGAAATGCTTCCTAAACATCTAAGAAACAAAAGTACACTTGGAAAGGCTGGTTTAATACACAATCAATAGCCACGAGAAAAAAAAAAAAATCTAATTTGGTAGAGGCTGTTGTTCTTCACTTCCTCTTTTTCTTAATAACGTTATGTGCATATGTATATATCTCTCTAGTGAAATAGCCCCTCAGTCTTACAATCTATAAACAAGGATGAGGAAAAAATCCCTTTCCCTAGAGACATAATTAAGTGATTACGCATCAATAATTCACTCAAAAGTTTTAAAAGCAAGCATATAGTAGATTTCCTGTCCACAGCAAGTTTGGCACACGCTGTATTTATATCTATATTTTACTTACAGACCAACTTGCTAGGAAGGCAGTAAAGCAAACACATCTACAGGAACTGCTGACAGGCCTTTGTCATTCTCCCTCATTCGCACTCCTTAACTTTGGTTGAATGGGAATTGAGGCCCAGACTCCACAAAGACTTACACCTGCGCTTTCCTTTACGTCCTGTGAATGGTCCCACCTCCTTGAAAGGTTAAGCACGGGCCTAAGTCTTTGCATAATTTGGGCCCATCCTTGCACATTTAATGGAAAAAGCTGTAGAGCTGTAAAGCAGCGGCTGGGGAACACGTGTCTAAATCTGAGACTACTGATACGCCTCTCAATTTTGGCTTTCTTCTTCCAGAAAAATGTTTCTAATGGATGATATATTTTCTTAATCTCGAAATAGGACATTGTTAGCACCAGCAGAATTAGGGAGCAGGCAGGGAACTTATGGAGGAGGATCATGGTTTTAGTCACAACCCTGCTGGTTTGCCACAGCGGCTGGAATTTGCAAAGGGCACTCACCTTGTCAGGGAGGGATGAAGAGGACAATCCTCCTGAGAAGCCCTGGCTCTGGATTAGGGTGGAGATGGGAAGCAGGCGTGAACACTGGCAAACCATTGGTATTAGAAGCACAGGAGGCTAAATAATTTCTGAAATGAAAATGAAAACAAACAGTGAGCTAGGAAACACACCACCGTTCTTGTCTTTGGGTATAAAGGAAAACAAATCGCGCAGAATTACAGTTACTTGGGATTATGATAGAACCATACATGACAGTTCTGTAAAGCCGAGAGCCACGGGAGCATTTCGTAAAATAAATATATTAGTAGACCTTATTGCAGAAGGCACTTTGAAAAATTTCCATATGCCTGAGCTGTGCATCTGTTATATTTGTACTGCCTGCAGATAACGCTATAATGTACTGTACATTAATGTAATTGAACGAAGGATAAAATGATATAACCATGCACTGTATAAGATTTATTAAAATAGTTAAGTTATAACTCCATCTCTGTCTCTTTCGCTTGGATATAAATGAAAGCAAGAGGACACAGAAAACGTCGATAAGGCCTGCTTTTTCTAATGACTTGTGACTCTGTGTCTAAGGTACACAGCAGAGTATCTGAAACCGCAGGTTTCCTTTTATTTCTGGGGGACTGCCATTCAAAAGGGAGGATGTTATGGCTTTGATATTCATGTCTAAAAACAGGGGTAAGTGAAAATCCCACTTATGATAGTAATCGAATGCCGGGAAAGCTACCGGCTGAATCCAGAACATCCCCTTGCTCGTCATCTTGGAGAACAAATCTCTCGTACCTCTGGAACACACAACTGAGACAACACACCAGCGTTTACACACACAGACACTGTCCAAGACTGCATTGCGTGCTGAGCTGAAACTGCCCAACCCTGGTCGATGCCAGGTAGTGCAGGGCCGAGAACAAAGAGAAGAGAAGGGACATACGAGGGAGGCTCGCTCTTACTCCTTGGCAAAGCACTCTGGAGACAAGCAGACCACGTTTCCTGCATGGCCACGGAATTCAAGCAGGACTTAACTACAACACCTCTTTCCATTATCTTCTCTTTGGGCTGGACAAAGCATGAGAAGGTTGTACAAAAGCGTATTCTTGTCTATCAGGAAGGGAAGTTACTGTGGCAGCTTCCACCATCGAAACAAGCCAAAACAAAATCAGGGGAAAGGCGCAAACCAAAGAGCCTCTATTTGAAGGCCAAGTGGCTACTTCTGCAGCATTTCCAGCCAAGTCCCATTCCCCGCTTCAGAAGCGCAACCACGTTAACGGGATCGCCTTCCCTAGGGCTGAAATGAAGCCCAGGGAGCCGCAGGTGCCCAAGCACGCGTGCCTTGCCGGGTCAGGGGAGCTCCTCCAGCACGGCAGCAGGGGCTGGAGCCCTGGCTGACAGGCCGTGTTGAGCCTGGACACCACAGCGAGGGAGGAAACGGGTTAACGCAGGCGTGGCGCGGCTGCGAGGCTTTCCTCCAGGCTGCTAAAGGAGGCGAAGGCCTCACCCTCCCCAACCCTCCCGCCGCCATCTTATGTCACCGGCGGAACCCTGTCCCGGAGAGGCCCCGCGGGCCCAAGACGGATGGATGTCTGGGGGGGAGGCTCGGGCGCCGTGACCGGACGTGAGGAGGCCCCACGGG